GGCAGTAAATCATCTGACAACCTTTATTGCAGGGTTCAAGTGCTGCATTTCTGTAGAAGGTACACAGCTCCCACTTTTTTGCATCTTTGCTTACTTCAATTTTGAAGTTTGAAAGACGATCTAAAAAAATAGAACGTCATCGTTGCATCATTTTCAAAACATCAAGAAGCAAGTAATTCAAACAATTATGCGTTTAATTAATTTATAAAAACAGCATGTAATTATGGAACCAAATATTTAAACTTCTATAGTGACTGATGTATATATCTTCTCATGGTCAATATGAATTACCATCATTATATCATGAATAAATATCATTGAAAATATTAGGTTCGTGCCTTAGATAATCTTTAGAACTAATTGATTTTTTCAAATTATAGAAATTAAAATTCATTCATTTATTCATTCATGGATATTAGATATCTCAACTCGATCTCATTTTGTCTGTATCGCACTTGTTAGCTTAATTATTACATTGTACCTTCAACTCCACTTGCCCAATTACTTTTCCTGTTTATTTATTTATTTATTTTATTTTTATTTTTTTTTCACAATTTATTTCATTTTTGTTCACATCATACATTCAATTATTGTTAAAACATATTGTAATCTGAAAAAGTATGCACCTTAGAATGTTAACTAAATAGTATTTTCCTGTTTATGATTATATACACTATATGCATATTATTTATCCCATCCTACTACTACCCAGTGAATAACACCGGGGAATATTTTTGATATTGAGAAAATTAGACTGTCCCTCCTAATCCCTCTCACAAAAATGGCATTCACCTCAATGGGAGCGAAAAATTATGAATAGGGACCCCATGTCAATATTGTTTTCAAAATATTGAACATATTTACTCAAAAGAGGATCTTCTTTTTCTGATTTTTATTGCATGAAAACATTATTCAACAAGGGGTCTAAGATATGTTCAAAAATAGAATGGTATTGAAAGTCTAGTTTTGAAGATATCAATTTTCGATGACCAAAATTGTGCTGAAAACAATGGATAGCACGAGTTTTCTCTATGGGAAAATAACATGGGATATGTGGTTTTTAACTTTAACGCATTTCAATACCCATCCCCTTTTCAGAAATTGTTAATATAGTGTAGAGGAGACTTTCGATATGTTTAAATTGAGAAAAACAAGATCCTCTTTTTAGAAAATAAGCCCAACATTTTTCAAAAAGTGCCAAGGTGGGCCCTAATCCATAATTCTTCAGAGAGTTGGATTGATATTTTACTATCATTGGGACTTCACTCGAAAGAAAACATATTGTTTTCATAAAGGCCACTGTATTTATGCCCAGAAAGTACTCATAGTGAAAGATATGACTGTCTAGAATCACTTGCCATGCTGCACATGGACCTTTTTCTCTTGCTCTCCGGGCCATCGGGACATATCATATTGTCTCTCAAAAAAAACAATACCAATATCCGATCCCTCCCAGGAAATAATCTTCATATACATATATATGCCCAAATGTGTACCAGGTCACGCGACTATATATTTTACAAATAAACTTTATGATTACCTTCAACAATGTCTGAGGGTCCACCTCTGCAATTGTCTTTTCCACACTGTCTGTTTGATAATTTGACGGACCCAATGGGATAAACTTCCCGCAGATCAACCATCCACCATGGCTTGTGCTCATGTTTTGTGGATGCACATGAACCATGATGCCAGTCACCATCTTCAACACCATCAACTGCGAGTCCAGCGGGAACATGTTGTAGTGGATATATAGAAGATTGTGAGGCAGGTTTTCCAAGAGCCAAATTCTCTGTGTCTGTACAAAAGATAAACAACAGGTTAAATTTCTTTGTATTTGTTACATTTCTTGATATCTTTATTTACTCATTGTTATTATTGTCTATCTTAAGTACGTGTCTAACCTGTCTCCTTCCATACAGAGCCTCCGCATTGTTTTTCAGCCCTGCTCGTGTGAATACACACTAATAAACCTTAACAAAGAAAAAAACTATTATTGACAATGAACGAAATAGATTGATTAGAACTATAGATAGATGAGTATAATCATTATTAGCATTATATGTGTAATTATCTTGATTTATTTTTTTGCTGAATAAAAGCATTTTAATAAAATCCCAGTTTACAAAGTAAGTACGACACAGCAGGTCACAATCGCAACAAACGATCCTAAAAGCCGCATATGACCTGCTTTGGCATTGTTTCAATTAAATTCAAAATCAAGTTCTATATTCTATGTGCTCTTGAATACCAGCCCCTAAAAAGGTTTGAAACCAAAGCATATTTGCCAGGTATTCTGGATAATTACGTAGATGTTCTTACATATTGCCAAGCGGAATTCTGTGTTAAACATCTGCATGGTAAATTACTCACACTCAACAATGCAACACTGCGCCGTTCTGGAATGTAATCATCATCAGCATCGTCATCATTTTGGTATTCAATGATGTTGTAATAAAATAATAATCGGCAAAATTTATACTCACTAAATTTCGTAAAAGTAATAAATCGCTCTACTTACATATAATTGTGTAAATACGATAAATGAGATTTTGTACAACAGAAAAGCAGCTTCATCAAAAAATGAGACAATGAGCTGTATCAATTCGCTAACACAGTTTCAATTAAAATCTTCAACAATAAAAAAGTAAAGATAATACGTACCAAGTTGCCGGATAAGTTATTCTTCGTGCAGAGTTTGGATTAAATTTGAAACACGGAAGGAAACATTTTTATAGCTTTTTAAATTAAACAGTCTAATTGTATAAATTGAAATAATCCATTATAGATTATTTCTAAATTAGGTAGAGGAAATTAAACTGAAATTACTTTAGTTACATAGCCAAAATAAATATAAAAATCTTAAATAGGATGTTTACATTAACTTTGTGAGGGAATTCTGTCTGAATTTCAAACCTCCATCATTATTCTATTAAGAACATACTTAATATTAAACCTCATTATAGACTAGCTGTTGAAGCACTTCTATTTTCGTTTTCACATGATATTGAAAAAGTTTGACAATAAAATTAAAACGGCATAGGGCTCAAATACGTACATTTTTACTCAGTTAAAGTTGTTAAACACACAGAAACATATTTTCAAACTTGGCACAGTCGCGAAGCCATTAAAATCTTAAATACCAGCCCCTAAAAAGGGTTTGAAACCAGAGCATATTTGCCAGTTATTCTGGATATTTCATCTGCATACACAATATTTGATGTTTGATTTCATAAGGTCAGTAATCATAGATATCCTACATATAAGTTACAGCATAATTCATGTAGATTGGATACGAATTGTCAAAGTTATAGCAGTTTTAGTGAAAAGATCTGTGACCGATATACATGTATCTGTCGCCATGGATTCTCATAAAATTTCATTTTTGACAGAAATATCCATCATTCAGGGTGTTGTACCTTCACACTAGGACATGGTGATCCCTGAATATCACTTTGGTGAAAAACACATTGATCATAATTGTATATCAATATGAACATGTACAAGCGGTGAAAGAACTATTAAGATACATCCCTAGCAGCGTGTTGGAACTGTTCAAACTGGTGGTTACAAAAATTAATTAATCCATTCAAAAGTTATAGAGGAGTTTCTAAATAGCTTTAAAATCTCGCTCAATCTCGTTTTTTCATGAGATTTGCACTTTTTACCTCTAATGACTTAGTTTTCTTTATTTTCGATAGCATATTTGAATTCAGTGACAAGTTTTCTCCAATAATAAGTTTGATTAACACAGTTATGTAATTTAGATCATTTTCCATGACATTTAACAAAAACTTGGGGCAAATCTCCATTGGTGAAATACTAAGATTCATTAAAACCTTGGCTTATTCGTATGACAACCAACAGTTTCATGTTTAATCACAGTATGTATATTGACAGTGTCATCCGATAGTATGCCATTCGAGTTTCAGACAGATTCAACCAACACCTTTTGATAAATCATGAAATTAAGTGACTATTGCAAGTTTCTAGCATTGGCGTGAATGGAGGTGTGGCCCAAGAAAATCAAAGACAAACAAGGGTGACATCTATTAATGCAGCATTATTCAGCTATTTAGAAACTATATAATTCCCAAAATTAGCCACACGGCGGCGAGCCAACACGGCTAATGTTACAGCTACTTTGATAAAGATTTTTTTAATGGATAGTTAAGGAAAAATCAACATCTTCCTTTCTAAATACACTAATCCCCAAAGAAAGATAAGGATCATATTTATCACTTTTAACCCCAATTTCACCTTTAAAATGTGTAGGTGCAAACGTTTAACCTACACCTCACATGAACAGAGTTATTTATGTTTTTATTTTGACTGGAAAAAGTTGTTGATCGACTTTTATAATACTTCTCATATCAATTCTTACAAGCATGTATTACTGTCAAATGACAATTTGGCGTATATATTTGGCCATTTCCAAATGTCACTTATTTCTACGGCCGTTCGATGGGATCTGCTATACATCGGCATTGTTGTTTCCTAGTTGGGTTTGATAAGTATGATGGTTCGATACCGATTTATCAGATACCATTTAGTTTCCTCATTCAAATTCCCAATGTCAACAAAGCCATATCGATTACAATGGAAGTAGTTACCATCTTTATGTTGATTAAACAATTTACAGATAGGAAGCCGTAGATTTCGTTAAATTAGCGAGGATATTTTAATAATAATGTAAATTCCGATATGTTGAAATGTTTAGAAAGGCTGTTGAAGATATCACTTTTTCTCAATTGAATAGATGAATATTTGCTTGCATACCTAGCGTGTGCTATGTAGTATCATCGTCCGAATTTTCTATGAGACATAAACTCCATTTCCGTAGGACAAGGTCACCATTTTTTCATGAAATGCTTTGTTTTATTCCATATTAATGTAAAAAAACAAATACGGAATGGTCTGCCGCTCACCGTGAATATGCTTACTCTAAAATTCAATGTCAAACATGAAGAATGATTTCAATTTCAAAATAACATTTTCTACGGATGCATAATTAGAAATACGCTTTGACAAGGGTTGCGTTCCCTGCTTCATGAACTTTACTTGTAATTGTTTTGAGTCATAATGTTGAAATCCTAAGAAATCATAGACTCTTTGAACAACCGTAAATGCATCTGATGACAAATCCTCGTATGTTAAAACGTATTTATCCTTATAACCTTTCAATTTTTCCAAAGCGTTCTTCCATCGTTTCTTTGTCTCTATGACAAATGCCTTAAATTGCGTAATATTGAAAACGAGTTCTGAACTATTGGGTTTTATACTCATTTCGGAATTCCAAGCTTTGTTTTGCATTGCAACCTTCCAGCTCGTGAATTGTTCTATAATGTTCCGTCGAAACAGAATTATGATCGCCGGCCTGTCCAGGAGATCAATGAACTCAGCTTGGGAAATGTTCCATGTTTTTACATCAGTACAAAAAAGTTTGAATCCTGTTGTGATGTTTTTGAGAGTTCTTACTCAATTTGGCATTGACGTATTTGAATGCTTCGTTTGTAGTTTGGATTGTTATATTATTGCGTTTTAAGGTAGATCTTGTTAGGAGTTCATGATAGTGTCTTATACGTGGGTTGTGCTCCAACAAACTGCTAAAAAACGTTGATCCACTCCGAGGTTCTGTCAGGATTATGTAATGTTTGTATAGTAAAGAACCATCATTAATGTAACTTTCCTCGTTTTCACAAGGATTGATCGTACGGGTAGCACAGAATGTTTTATTGACTTTACAGTTTCTGATATTCTTATGGATTCCTTGCGCCATTTTAAAATTGAATACTAAATATGAAACTGTTACAAGAACTCCGAAAACTGTTAAATATATGTATATGTTGTTTTTGTTATAACCAACCATTTTCCATTTGTAGTATTGCGGCCTAGATTCAACAGTATAGTGAATATTCACTATGTAAAATACCCATAGTAATACAGTATCAGAAACATAGGATACACACGTATCAATTGATTTAATGCAGTTTTACTTGTTATCATAAGTTTAGGTATCAGACATATTTATCAAGATATATTTTGCAATTACTTTGCAACCAGAGAAGCTTTTTTCATTCTGACTTCAGTTTTACATAGGTTAATCTATTACCTTTCAGAATATGTATGCATTATTTATCATGAATGCATGAAAATATGTGTAAACCTAATCATAAGGGTCAGGTGTTTTAGCATTTTGTAACATTTTGTAGCATTTATATATAACACTGTATTAATTGAATATGTTTCAGTGATAGTGATGTTCTTTGGCCTCAAGTAGCACAAAAATTCATAATGCGATTTATATCTGGTTTGTTTTATCTGAAAGGAATTGAATTAATTGAGGATTAGATGGGATTTCATGTTGATAGAATGATTATTTCTGATATAGTTATTGCAAAGAATGAGCTCCGGGGTCCAAACGGACCCCAAAAACCATTTCAGGGTTAAGCTGAGTTATCCAGAATAATCTGATTCAGCCAGAATAAAGACATTTAGACAATTTTAAGGTAGGTTTTCTTCGACTCAATCGACCAAACATTAGTAGGCTTTCATTAGTTAATCTGAAAACATAGGATCAAATCCTATGCTAGGGGCTGATGTGAAAAAGACACTCCACCCTGGTGGGAATCGAACCCACAACCTTCCGATTACATGTCAGGTGCTCTACCACTTGAGCTACGGAGCCGACTGACTCTTTCACATCAACATTGCATATATGGCATCACAGCCATGACTTACATGCCCAGTCTCCTGGACCCCACGTTACACGTTCACGTTACAATGCTAGTCAATGGGCAAATGGGCAAACGCCTGATTTTCTATCTCGAGTTATGGATTCATGTGGCCCCGCTGGCCTATCTGAGGTTCAAAAGCGATGTCTAAGCTTCATTTTGACACGACACTCAAAAGGGGTCTACTTTCTGAAATATATGGTCAATTGTGACACTACCCCCTCTTTCTGCCGAAAGAAATTGTAATTCAAAAATGAAGCCAAAAGAAATACACCACATTTCAGATAACCCAAATAAATGCATTTTCAGATGAAATGGCATGCTATTATTGCAAAAGATGACAATTGTACCTACATATTAGCTTACTGACTCGTTATGATCACAATTGTGTTGGAACTACATTCATTTTTAAAACTACTTTTTGTCTTCAGCGGAAGTGACGTATTAGGGCATATATACAGGTTCACATTTAGGTTGCCCGTGCATCTTATCCTCTCTAATGTTTACAAAAGTACGTTCAAATGACCGGGCCTTTCTTTCAGAGGATATTGACATATATACTAAATCTAAAATACCCTAACCGGCTTTCAAGGCGTTTAAAGAGGGTTATTGCGTACTGCGCCCAAGTCAAAGATCACAAATTACGAAACACAACTGTATTTTTGATGAGTCGTCCAATAAGAAATCAGTTTTACAATGTATTTTATTTTGCTCTGCCTCAAAAGTGCACGGTATTTGTTTTCATGGTTCGTAAACGGCGACTTCACAGAGGGTCAAAAAAGCATCAACCAAAGTGTGCTGTATCTGGACCTTTACATAGCGACCAGACAAACCATTTGGACATTGGAAAATCTGCCAATCTTTCCCACATGTATTCAAGGAACCGGTGTTGTGGACACATAGTTCCCACTTGACATTGTCTTTGCTTACTTCAATTTTAAAGTCTTTCAGCCGTGCTATAAAATAAATATTTCATTTTAAAACACAATACCATTGTGATGGCATTGGGTTGACTTCACAATTTAAAATAGAAGTAAATTGATATCTGTCGCACGTGTTATAACATAATAAATTTATCACCGATAATACATGCCTGGCCAATTCGTTGTTGATTTTACTAACTATCTTATTGGCTTCATCGACTTTTGGATATTTGTACGTGAAGAAACAGTAGTAGCACATCATAAGTAGCACATCATAATATATTCAATTGTTCAATAAAGCTACACGGAGAAACACTCCAACATGCAAAACAAGTATAGCCAATACTAGTTATACTAGATATAGTACCTTCTACACTCGCTAAATTAGTACCACAGTTGTCGCTTCCTCGACACTGTCTATTAAACAAAACCACAGATCCAATATCGTACTGAGAAAGCAGGTCGACCTTCCACCATGGTTTGGTATCACCAACATCACTGCTAATGCATGATAAATGTCCAGCATCACCATCTATGTTGCCATCAACTGCTGCGGCAGCTGGGGGAAAACCGTCATGAAGTGACGATTGTGTGGCAACTTTACCAAGTGCAAGGTTGTTTAACTCTGTAATTCAATCAGGCAATATTTTATTTATGTATTTATAATCCTTATGAGATATTTAAATAAAATATGTTTCAAAACAGCTTATTATGACCCTTTTGATGATAGAACATTGGTAGTATATTGTTCTATCACCGCGGTGTTAGTGGATTGCGTAATATTTTAATGAGGTTTCTTCCAAGGTATCACTAAAAACAATAAGCCATGCAGTGCAAATTATATGCTCGTGTGTTTTCAACAAAAATAGCCTATCCAAGCGCTTGGATAGGCTATATCAAAACCTCAGTAAAATATTACGCAAATCACCAGCACCTCGAATATAATAAAATACAGTAAAAATAAAGTATTATTGTAAGTTGGTAATGAGAAATGATACTTACTTGATGGCCGAAAAACAGCAACTTCACAGAGTGTGAAGAAATTTGTGTCTTGCAACTGAACCCTAACATAGCGTCCTTTCATTCCACTAGGGCAGTAAAACATCTGACAACCCTTCTTGCAGGGTTGCAGTGCTGCGTTTCTGTAAAAAGTACACAGCTCCCACTTTTTGGCGTTTTTGCTAACTTCAATTTTGAAGTTTGAAAGACGATCTATAGAAAAATAAAAACAGTTGTCACATTTTCCATACTTTTTTGTATCACATTTATTATAATATAAGGGAATTGCCACAAACAAACGTTCTTTATCATTGAAAATGTGGTGCAACCTACCATGATTTTAAAATATATGTGTTACCGTTTATAAACATATAAGCGCAAATGCCAAAGGGAAGGGTGACTAAAAACTTTAAAGAAACCCAACAAGAAAAGCAAACTGTAAGTGTAAATCTGTTATAAGAAAAGTAGACCCTATATATCCCAAAGCCATGATCTAACGCTAAGAGAAACAATGTCTAACATCCCTCTCCCCCCTCCAATCGAGAACCAATATCACAATCCAGGACCAGAGGCCTCATTATCATCTGGTCGCAAATAGTTGCGTTGCGTCTGCGATGCGATTGCGATCGCAATTCGTAACGCATGCGATGCGTGATATTATCAATTGAGCGCAATCGCAGACGCAAAGCAATCGCAAAACAATTAAAACGTATTAAAGTTGCGATCGCAAGTCTAGAGTGTATTTTGGCGCGAAATTTAAAAGGACACTGGCGCTAGTTTTTGACATTGATTGGTTGAAATTGATAGAAATCCAATAATTGATATGATTTGATTGGTTGCGCATGCATTACACTTGTGCAAGACATAAACCCATATTTAATCCCGACCAGTAAATAAGCTTTTTATCCCATGATATTCATGACTCTCTTCATAAAATCAATAGTTCAAACTGATTTTTGTATGAAACAAAACAAGACAATACATTCAGTCTATAAAATAGGACTGAACTTTATGACATTTTGAAACTATAAAAGTTTTATTGTATAACATAAACACATCAACATCAAAATAATTGTGTTCATGTCCATCACAGGGCATTCGCATATTGTTCAGATTTCTATGACGTTGACTGTCCCTGTCAGAGCACGATGATGGAATTACAAATCGCCTATGTTTAATAGAGTAATCTTCATACTTCTTAGTTTCAAATTTTCAATTTTGTTTGGCAAAATATCGTTGCTCACATAAGAACATCATTTTAGAACGCTATATCGAGCCAACTGAATGAAACAGGAAGCTTTGTTTAGCAAAAATTCCCGGGAGGTGAATAACATTTTCAAGAGCGGGATCGGGAGGTGAATACAAAAAAATGTGGGCATGCCTTCTTGCCTATAAACGTTGTGGGGCCATAATAAGTCGGCCTTTTTGGGCATTAATAGGCATTGAAGGACCTTATTTTAAAAGAAAATGGGCCTGTATTTTCAAAATTCCGGCCATCCCTTGATAATCAATTAAAGTAAGCTTTTATCCCATATTATTTTGTATGAAACACAATCAAACTACAGTCAGTGAAACCTGTCTTAGAGAACAACTCTCTCAAGTGGACACCTGTGTCTAGTGAACACCCCTTCTCAGCACATACTCCATTGACTTCTGTAAGATCGCCTCTATGTAGTAAATACTTACCTACAATGAACAAATTTTTGTGGCTCCATATTGGTGTTCACTGTACACAGGTTTTACTATTTCTTATGTATAAAACTCTGGCAATTATAGCATACGCATTTTGAAATACAAAGACTTTATTGTATACCATCAGATCAAGAAATTCAATATGCTCCACGTTGGTGTAAGACTCTTAAACTGTGTAAGACTCTTTAAATTCTATGAGTGTGTATAAGTATTATCACACCCTTGGTATACAAGGGGTGTATCCTGAGGGTGTATCTGAGCTATTTTATAGT